TTTTTTTTATGTTGAGCTTCAGACCGTTTTTTGCACTCTCCTCTTTCACCCTCAGAGGTTCTTTAATTCCTCCTCACTTTCTGCCACCACAGTGGTATCATCTGCATATCTGAGGTTTTTGATATTTCTTCCAGCAATCTTGATTCCATCTTGGGATTCCTCCAGTCCGGCCTTTTGCATGATGTATTCTGCATATAAGTTAAATAAGCTGGGGGACGATATACAGCATTGTCATACTCCTTTCCCAGTTTTGAACCCATCAGTTGTTCCATATCCAGTTCTAACTGTTGCTTCCTGTCCCAGGTATAGGTTTCTCTGGAGATAGATAAGGTGGTCAGGCACTCTCATTTCTTTAAGGACTTGCCATAATTTGCTGTGGTCCACACAGTCAAAGTCTTTTGCATAGCCAATGAAGCAGAAGTAGATGTTTTTCTGGAACTCTGTCTTTTTCCATAATCAAGCATATGTTAGCAATTTGGTCTCTAGTTCCTCTGCCCCTTCGAAATCCAACTTGTACTTCAGGGAGTTCTTGGTCCACCTACTGCTGAAGCCTACCCTGGAGGATTTTGAACGTAACCCATACTATCTGCAGTCACTCATCCAAATATGGCCCTAATTCAAAAACAGATTCAGTATTTACAACTTTTTGTTTAGACTGTCCTCTCCCCTCAGTAATTACTGCTGGTTTGACTTGTCACACAACATCAGAGATGCACTTCTTTGCACCCTATCCCTTTTCACATTCTACATAAACACTATTATATTGTTACTAACTCCATAGAAAAGTGTGATGTCATTGCAGCCATATACAGTCGTGCCCCGCTTAACGATTGTCCCGCATTACGACGAATCCGCTTTACGATGATGTTCTTACGATCACAATTGCGATGGTCTAAATGGGGGAATTTCGCTTAGCAATGATCAGCTCCCTGCTTCGGGAACCAATTTTTGCTTTACAACGATCAAAAACAGCTGATCGTCGGGTTTTCAAAATGGCCACCGGGTGCTTAAAATGGCTCCCCGTTGTGCTTAGGGACAGATTCCTCGCTATACAGGCACCGAAAATGGCCGCCGTATGGAGGATCTTCGCTGGACAGTGAGTTTTCAGCCCATTGGAACGCATTGAATGGTTTTCAATGTGTTTCAATGGGCTTTTTAATTTCTCTTTACGATGTTTTCGCTTAACAGTGATTTTCCTGGAATGGATTATCATCGTTAAGCGAGGCACCACTGTAGTCCACTCCAGTGCAGTACACGTAAGTGCAGTAAAACAAAGGCCACAGCCATCAGCCACGACTTATGACTGCTATTTTACAGTAGGGCACATCTCAATTGGAGAATTTGCTTTGTGACCAGACAAGTAACCAAGACTTACTTCAGCATCTCATCAGTTAGCTGAAGCATGTTACACAAATTTTATGCCGACACTAGTAGATTTCTAGCCAAATTGTCTTAAATGCACCAAGCCTGCATAAGATTAGGCTACATATCTCCAATCCTCTGTCCACTCTTGATTGGCACCAGGCACTGAAGTTTTCCTGATTTGCTGTCAAAGATCCTTTTGAATGGACATGCTGGGATGTAGGAAGGTAGTTTGGGTGCATGAGGCCCTGCTGCTTGTTTTGGAGAATTTCCCTTTCCTCTCAAAAAGTGATCTCTTTCCAGAAACCAGGAGCTAATCGGCTTTTGCCCCGGTGTTTTGATTTTCATGTCTATTGAACTGCTGGCCCAAGCAGACCAAAGTGACTGGCAGTACTGTAAAGTGTGAACAGGCATTGGACATTTTTCCAGATTATTTTCTTGGAAGATAGGTTTACCTGTGACCATTTCAGTGTCATTTTTTTTACTGTAAAAACAAAACAAACAAACCTGTCAGTTCTTGTTTAAGGAAGCTATGTAATGGTATCACAAATCACAGTGCATTTGGTAATATATCTTTTAAATATATATTTTTATCATTCTCTCCTACAACAATTCTGTATTTCTATTAAAGGTCCACACACACCCCAGTCTGATAGCAGTTACTGAGGTCAATATGGATTAAGCCTGTTGTAAAATTACTCCTTCGGGAGGGAATAGATAAGTGAAGAAACACTGTGCTTGAGTGGTAAGTTTTTTTTAAAGTAGTGACTAGACAATAGACCAGTTTTGAACAGCTAAATTACTGCTCCCCAAATCTTTCCCATAGTATATTTGTTTTCATGTAAAAAATGTTTGTGAGGATTCTAATTTTATCAGGGTTAGAATCCTTTCTTTGGAACACAAAACAAAGCTTGTTGATAGATGCTAGTTTGCCTCTAAAACAGTGGTTCCCAACTTTGTGGCCCAGATGTTTTTGGACTGCGACTCAGAAATCCTGGTCAGCATAGCTAGTGGTGAAAACGTCTGAGCATTGTAGTCCAAGAACAGCTGGGGACCAGGAGTTGGAAACTACTGTTCTAAAATGTTTGTTTAGGCTCTTGTCCCACCTGCATTTTAACTACTGTACAAGAAAAATGGTCTGGTGCTTCTATAAGCAACAGCCACTAGGATAATAGTTTGCTTTTTTGGTGAACCTTATGGACCATAAATATGTGAGGGTTAAGAAGTTAAATGGAACACGAGAGTTCTACACTCACACTACAAAATTATTTCCTAAGATGCATGACTACCTCACCTTTCTGTCCTGAAAATACGTCTTTGTTTGATAATAGAGAACTATAACCTGCAAAAAGCCTGTTGTATAGTAACTCAAGTCCTTGTGTAGTTTAAAATATTATAGTAATTATTATAGAGATTATTAGCATTTTAAACTTACATTCAGAATAATTTGTCATTGCAAGGCAGTGGATTCATTCTTAATCCCACAATTTGTGTACAATAGGGTTTGGTTTTAACTGCACGCCATAGATTGATTTATTTGGGTTGCATAAAAGCTGTGATGAAATGTTTTCTAACCTGTTTTCATCAAAGAGCTTGGGTGCTGATTGCTTGGGGCAAACCATACATGTTGTTCTAAGGTAATCTTCAGATGCTTTTTTTAATAAGAACAAATGTGTAAAGCATTCTTGGGTCTGTTTTCCAGATATTGTTTCTGAGAGTCCTGGAGAAGATGGCGTTCATTAGTCCGAAGGAAATTGTATTAATTATTGGAGCCGTGGCAGCTTGTTATTGGAACAGTCTGTTTTGTGGCTTTGTTTTTGATGATGTTTCAGCAATTTTGGACAATAAAGACCTGCATCCTTCTACTCCTTTAAAAAACCTCTTCCTGAATGACTTCTGGGGGACTCCTATGTCTGAGGTAACTGATTTCTACTTACTGAAAAAAAATTAAGAACTGTTTCAAAATCTGTAATGAAATTAATCCATAACAGTCACATTTATAACTTGCACACTACCAGAAGATGATACATTACAAAACAGTGATGAATGAGTGTTGTACCTTCTGTTTGTAATGCCTAGTTGCAAAACTGTAAAAAACTGGAATACTGCAACTATTTGGGGTAACCAACCCATGGAAAAAATTGTTCTTCTTCATACCCTACTGAATTTCTAAGCAGAATCAGTGGAAGTGCATCCAAAGTTCAGAAGGGCATAAAAATATGTCTTCTGTATGCCAGGAAAGAGGGTCTCATGTCATGTTTCTCCCATCTGACTTGTTGGGCAGCAGCTCTCATCATCCCTCACCATTGGATTGATTAACTAGGGCTAGTGGAAGTTGTAGTTCAACAACATCTAGAGCAGTGGTTCCCAGCTTTCGGTAACCCAGGTGTTCTTGAAACGTTAGAAATAACAGGTGCCACTGATCTAAAGAAACACAAGTTCTACATCTCTGGCATAGTAACAGCACAGTCAGGGCACTGAGAATTTAAGAGAGAGGATCTGGAAGAGAACAGACTTGCTGGTGGTTAAAGGCTCTTACTACTTGTGACCTGTTCAGCAGATTTATGAAAATTGGATCTTTTGGGTGTTTGGGTTTTCATTTTGGTCTTTAAGGAGATTGCCTAAATTATTTGGCCAAAATCCTTTGGGGATATCACGTGCACAGTCATTTGCTCAAGTGATGGATTTGGGGGAGTACAGAGGTTGCCCTTCAAAACAATCCATGTGATGCAATCACATCGTGCAATAGGATTCTGCCCTTTGTAGCCTGATCAGCTTTAGACTGCAGTTTTAAATAATTTTTAATTATTTGCTTTTTAAAAAAAGTAATGCTTTTTTTTTAAAAAATCTATAAGCAAATCTGTTTATGTGTTTTGTTATTTAGGAGAGAAGTCATAAGTCGTATCGGCCGCTCACTGTTCTCACATTCCGTTTGAACTACCTGTTCAGCGAGTTAAATGCTGTTTCTTACCACTTCCTGAACGTTGTCTTTCATGCAATTGTTTGTATAGTCTTCCTCAAGGTCTGTAAGCTTTTCTTGGACAACAAGAGCAGCTTGGTGGTATCGTTACTATTTGCTGTACATCCAATACATACTGAAGCAGTAAGTACACCTAATAAGACACTTGAGTTTGTACTAATGGAAGAAATATAAAATTCCTTAAGTGGAATGAAAATACTTTTTTTTATGTTTTGAGGAGTGAAAGTAGGACAAAACAGTTATTCGTTTAATCTAATGAAAGACAGACTGAATAGATGAAACAAGATTTGTGAATCAAACCTAGAATTTGCATTTATTCTTTGGGGGCAGCGGTACATTAATGCTGCAGTGCATATCATGGAACACATGACCCTCTATGTCTTGTTGGACTGCAATTCCTGTCATGCCTAGTAAAAATCAGTGACTGGATGTGAAATGAAAAAGGAAAAAAAAACAGGCATTGAGTAAAGTTCAAACAACCCCAAGATTATTTGTTCACAGTCAACCTTTTCCAGCCAATAACCTAGTAGTGGATATTTTCAGTAAATGGGTTTCCTAAACATATTTCAAGATTTCTTCCACAGAGAGGACACAGCCCTATTGTTGTTTTATACTTGTGTAAGAAAAATGGTGTAAGCTTTGGAAAGCAACCATCATCTCAGAAATGAGCTGCAATTTCCTGCCAAAACTTTTATGCATTTTGTTATGCAAATGTAAGCTGGCAGTAGGATTCTGGCCACTGTGTGTTACAGTAGTAACATCTGGGGCTCACAAAGACTTACTTGAGTGTTCCAAGGAAGGGCCTAGTCTCATGCCAGCTATTTCTAGAGTCTGAAGGAACGATATGTCTCAAGCTGTGAGTGCAAGAGACACAGCCTTGTCCAAAACAGCCTGTATGCATTTTCTTGAATCAGTCTGCCAACCAGCAGTATTTTTGCTTCATTTGCACTGAGGGTCCAGCTAAATATATTTTATTTAACATTTTTTCATGGTTGCCATCTCCATGTTCTTGAGGTACTGAGAATAAAATTCAATATTCAATTATAAGATAAGACCAATTAGCATCTCATAATTTAAAAGTTAATACGTAAACATTTTTTAGAATGTTAGGTCATGTAATGTTAGGTATAGGTGATTTAAAAGGTGGTTCCCCTGTCACAAGAAGGACAATAAAGAAGGTGTCATGTGGACCTTTCTAGAGAAGGCTGTTCAGAACTCTGAATGCCTCCGCCACCATGGCCCTCTCCATGATGATTAATCACATTCCTAAAGAGATCTTTAGGATCATACAAAAGAAGGGGATCAAACTCATCCTCAGCCATTAGGGGCTTTGAAGATTAAGATCAGTGCAAGAAAATGTACGTACTTGGAAGCAGATGGGGGTGAGGGTGAGTTTAAGGAATAGTGGCTCTGGTATAATATGACCACAGTTCCCAGACCCAGTAAAATATGATTTTGCATTTAACATTCAAGTTTTATTTGCGCTGGGGGAAAAAGCTCCTACTGGCACCTGTCAAGTTTACATGGAATCTATGCAGATAAAATTGCATTAGATGAATGAACAAAGTTCAAAGGAGATGCAGTGTGGATTTTCTATGTATGTTTTTAACTTACCTACTGAAAATTCAAGGCTGCCATCTCCAGGAGCCTATTAGGTATATACGAAAGATCTAAGGCATGCAGCAGGCTTTCCTTCCGTGCCTCACACAGACATTGAGGCAAGCTGTTTCTTGGCTTTAAAGGGAGCCTTCCTGGTTGATGGTAAGATCTGCAACAGGGATAGCTACAAAGAAAATAACTGTGTTGTATGCATAGTTTGTAGGTATAAATGTCTCCTCCAAACGAATGGTCTAGATTCATATATCATTTGCTTCCCCCTTTTATTTCTTGTGCTGTCAGGGAATGGAAGAAAGCTCAGAGGCAGAATGTATGTTTTCCATTCAAAAGGGCCTCTGTTCAGTCCCTTTCTTCTCTGGGTTCCAATACAGAAGATTTGTGTCTGAAACCTGGAAGCCGCAAATTAGTGAATAGGTGGTCTTCCCTGTTTCTAAGATCTCACATATCTTCTGCCTTCCTTTATATGTCAAGTCATTTTTTTTTGTTCTTGTCATGCCCCCCTATCTGGGAGGAAGGGAGTAGCCGTCCCAGATACCAAGGGGTAGAATTGGTCCACACACTAGCCAGGGAAAGAGCCCCATGGTGCAGTGGTTAAACCGCAGTACTGCAGTCAAGCATCTTCTCATGGTTCTAAGATCTCACATATCTTCTGCCTTCCTTTATATGTCAAGTCATTTTTTTTTGTTCTTGTCATGCCCCCCTATCTGGGAGGAAGGGAGTAGCCGTCCCAGATACCAAGGGGTAGAATTGGTCCACACACTAGCCAGGGAAAGAGCCCCATGGTGCAGTGGTTAAACTGCAGTACTGCAGTCAAGCATCTTCTCATGACCTTTGTTTAATCCCAGCAAATTTAGGTAGCTGGCTCAAGGCTGACTCAGCCTTCCATCTTTCCAAGGTCAGTAAAATGAGTATCCAGCTTGCTGTGGGGGCAAAGTGTTGTTTGCGTAATTAGGCTATAGAACAGAGAGTGCTTTAGGACCATGGAGCAGTATATCATTCAAAACAACAACATTGCCTACCTCTAGTTTAAATGATACTAAACTACATGGACCAGGGGTCTGGCTTGAGGTCAGATGCTTCATATCATCTTGATAGATTGTCATAAATTTTATTTTCCTGATTCTCTATGAAATATATTCCAAAAAAGTGGTGGATTTCCAAACTGTGATTTAACCTTGGATGTTTATAGCAGCACAGTGGTGCCTCGCATAGCGATTGCTCCGTATAGTGACGAAATCACTTTGCAATGGACTTTTCGCCATCGCAAAATGATCGCTTTGTGATGGTCCCTATGGGGGAAATTCGCTTTGCGATGATCGCAGGGAAGTGATCATCGCAAAGCCCCCATTTTCGGCCAGCTGATCGGCGGTTTCAAAATAGCCGCCGGGTAAACAAAATGGCCGCATGCTGTTTTCAGACACAGTTACCTCGCTTTAGAGGCACCGAAAATGGCGGCGCTATGGAGGATCTTCGCTTAAAGGTGAGTTTTTAGCCCATAGGAATGCATTAATCGCATTTTAATGTGTTTCTATGGGCTTTTTATTTTCGTTTAGCAGTGTTATCGCTTAGCAGTGATTTTTTGCTGCACGGATTAACAACGCTAAGCGGGGCACCACTTTATAAGAGTAACCTCTTATAGCAGTATAACCCAATATTTTGAAGCGAAATAGAAACCAATTTTACTCAGACAGCTTGACAAATGAACACAGAGGTTTAACTCTGAATTTAAAGTGCAAGGTAAATGTACAGCTGATCAGTGTTTGACATGAAGAAACACTTCATTGTAATCCAGCTGTAGTCATATCTCAATGATTCTCTGATGCATGTATGTACCTTAGACAGAAGGGCCCTAGATTAGTGAGAAAATTCATACTTTGCACATAGAATGTTCTAGGTTCTGCAATCAGCATCTCCAGGTAGGGCCAGGAAAGAAGCTTGAAATCCAGTAATGCCACTACCAGACATTGACATTGGTCTGGGCCACTGATTCCCATCCTTGGGTACCAAGATGTTATTGGACTGCAACTCCCATAAATCCTGCCAGTGCAACTAATGGTGAAGGCTTTCGGGAGTTGCAGTCCGGTATCATCTGGGTACGCAAGGTTGGGAACCATTGATCTAGAATTGCCTTATTGCACTGTTCAAGTTTTCCTAATTTAAAGCTGATCTTTGGCTTCCTTGTATGTCAGTCTCCCATTTTGTACAGCATGCCAAAAATATAATGAGTTAATTTGAGTAATCTGACAGCGTGCTTGCTTGCCTAATCAAGCAAGTAAATATCAAATTAAACTGAATTAGAATGTGAGCACTTCCATCTGTTAGCCACATGAGGGCACACAAGCTCTGCCTTTGATATTCATTGATAGGCGAAAGAAAAGCTTTCTCTTTGTGTTTGTTTTAGGTTCTTCAGTGGTACTGGTATCCCCAAGGAATATATGCACCTTGTATTCTTTGTTGTTATTTGCAAAGTTGGCTTTTAATGCCCAAACAGTTCACCAAATGACAGTTTGGCCATCAGGCTCGATCATTAACACAGTAGATGAACGGATATGCTAATCATCAAAAGGGGTATTGGGAGCATATAACCTGCTAACTGTCTCTTCTTCTTTTTCTGTGTAGGTAACGGGTGTGGTGGGCAGAGCAGAGCTTCTCTCTTCTATTTTCTTCCTAGCAGCTTTTTTGTCATATACGAAATCCCGAGGGCCAGATAATACTATAGGTAAACACCTACCATCAGTTTTGTACATTTTCCTCTCTTTGTTTAAAAAACCCAACAGATGATCAGGGCAAATAGTTCTTAAAAGCAGGATATTTTTAAAACTGCCCCATAGTGTACATTGATCCATAATGTGCCTTTTTCCTTCTATAAGGGAAGTAACTTTTTTTCTTTTGCAGGTTGTCATTATCTGATGGGTAAACTGTCATGGATTGCATGTTGACCATAGTCAGGGTCAGAGACAAAACTGGTGGCTTTCTCATTATCTCCCTGCCTCTCTTCCCTCCTTGCCTCCCCCCTTTTCTCTCTCTCTCTCTCTCTGGCCGGTAGCCATTTTAGTCTGTTGTAGCACAAGAGAAGCCAGAAGCCTTATAGCACCTTTAAGACAAGCTAGTTTTTATTTTTCATAAGCTGTCATGTGTTTGAGAACACGTCTTCAGAGAAAGGGCAGTTCACCCTTGCCAGAAGTCTGAACGGATTTCTCATAAAAGAAATTTTGAAATTGGAAACTAGGTTGTGGGCTGCCTGCCCTTTTTGCAGATTCAATATGCTGCAATTTTCCAACCTGCTCTGGAAGGTTACACTCTTACAACAATGTATGTTATCAGTGAGCTATTAGAACCAGATATTCCTGATTCGAACACTGTTCTGCTTTTTGCATTTTTCATGAACAGGACCTGGGTTTTGGTTTGTTTGTTTGTTTGTTTGTTTGTTTGTTTGTTTGTTTAACTGTACATACATTCTGGGATAGAGGATCTTTTGTATACATATGTTACTCTGTTGAGCACTTCCTCTGGGGTGTAATACAATCTATATTAAGATGCATAAATAAAAAGTTATCAGTTTCCACACCCAAACAAGAGAAAGGCAAAACCTCAGATCAGGTGCCTGGTGGATGTAATAGTTACAGAACAATTGACTCTGCATGGGTGTCCATAGAGTGCAGCATCTGAGAACGTATAACTATGTGGCTGATATTTCTCCGCAAATGCCTTAAACCATCAAATAGCCTGCTGGGAAATGAATAGCACACTCTTCATGGAAGACTATTTTTAGAGAAGGAGGAGGTAGCTCCTCGGATGCTTCTGTCATCTGTGTATAGCTGTTAAAAATCAACTTTGTGGGATTTCCCCCCCTCAAAAACAGAAACCTGTAAGAGAAAGTGTGTGTGTTTTAAAGTCTGTATCCATTTGGGTATTATGTCAAACAACTGCTTATTATCACAGGAGTTGATCTCTGCAATCCTCCAGCTTTCACACTGCATCCTCTCCTTCAGCTGTGCGGTAGACAGCAGTAGTTTTCACTTCCATTATTTATTAAAACATCCAAGCTCAGCAAACAGTAATTAGTGGTAACTCTGCTTGGTTTGAAAGATTCAACTTCAGGTCATGGTCTGTGCACCTAAATTGTTTTATGGTCCCAGAGTGCCCCCAGAAGAAGGGAATGTTAACAAAACCATAAATCAGGATAGAGCTCTTGTTATTATACCTAAGAAACCTTGGAATTCATTTGATGGCATGTAATTGCTATTATTATGCAATGGTAAACTGCAGTTAGTCAAAAATAGAAGTGAATACCTCCAACCTCCAAAAGAGGAGATTGTCCATCATAGCTAGTTTACAAGTATTTTAATCTGTCCCTTGAAATTCACTTATATTTCCCAAATGTTGTATGTACTAACTTTCTCTATATGTTCTCCATTGCAGTGTGGATTCCTATTGCAGTGACTGTGTTTCTGGTTGCTGTTGCTACATTATGTAAGGAACAGGGAATTACAGTGGTAGGAATATGCTGTGTCTATGAAGTATTTATAGCGCAAGGGGTAAGTTACGTGTGTAAACAAAGTCTAAACCTAGCTTGAATCATGGTCTTTAAGGAGACAAATTTACTGTACAATTTAGATTAAATGTTTTGTTCATGTTTGATAGTGTTTGTGATCACACACAATATTGTTTATATTCCTGGACAGTGTGGCAAGCAGCAAACTCATTTCCAAGTACACACTGACACTCTAAATGTCTTAATATCGCAGACTGTTCCTAAACCTAATATTTCCCACTTATTACCTTTGTTTCCCCTTTATCTCTGTACTACAGAAGTATTCAGTTTGGAATTCTTTCCAGTGATCTCTTGTATGATCACCATGTCTGTTAAATAAATGTGGTAGTTAACATAAAACAGAGAAGACAGATTTGTGCTCTGCAGTGGTCCTAAAACTTAGGGATAACTGGAATGGAAGAGACTAAGCTGGGTAACATGTTTATTGGATCTTCAGGGAAACAAACAAACAAGATTACAAACAAATTAACCAGAACTTTTTGTCAAGTATAGTTTATAACATTTTGGGTGCTAAAGAAAAAGGAAATTTTCCTCAAAGAGAGAAGTTATAGAAGCCACTATATGTGAAAGTAGACTCTTGTTTAAATTTCATGACTCTACACCTGATGAAGGGATGTGGTGGCACTGCAGATGCCTTTGTGCTGCAGGGTCAGAAGACCAGCAGTTGTAAGATCGAATCCACACGATGGAGTGAGCTCCCATCACTTTGTCCCAGCTCCTCGCCAACCTAGCAGTTCGGAAGCATGTAAATGCGAGTAGATAAATAGGTAAACCTCGGTGGGAAGGTAAATAGCATTCCGGGTCTAAGTCACACTGGCCATGTGACAAATGGAAACTGTCTTCGGACAAACGCTGGCTCTACGGCTTGGAAACGGGGATGAGCACCGCCCCCTAGAGTCGGACATGGCTGACTAAATGTCAAGGGGGACCTTTACCTTTACCTTACACTTGATGAAGCGTTCTGGAGAACTCAAGAACTCACCTTGTTTGTCACTTTTTATTGTGCTGTTTCAAGTATTATCCACCTCAGACTTTTGTTTCTACATGGATCATGGTACTACTGTACCTTGATTTTCTTAACTTGAGATATTAACAGTTAGAAGAAATTAACTGTTAGAAGTGTTAACCTACCATATTCTATAAAAAAATCAACCAGTTGCATAAATTGGCCTTAACTGACTCAGAGCAACATGACTGACATAAGATTAGCTCACTGTATGCTGACACAAACTGAATACTGGCTGGGAAAAAAAAAACAATGGGGAAAAGATTCTTAGGCAGAAAGACAGGGCTCCCTTCAAAATCAGAGGCAGAGAGGGAACATTGGATACTGCTGGATTGATTGACAATCATCCCAGATTCACTCCTGTTAGGAGTTGAAGAGATGCTTAGATGTTTAGATAAAGGCTCCATTGTTGTCTTGCAACACAGGAACCAGTTCTCTCTTCCTCCTCCTTCTCCTGCCGCTGCCGCAAGCTCAGCCTCTTCTGCTCTTCCTCGCCCTCTCGCTGCCATGCCTGAGCCACTGCCGGGTTGCCCGCTGCCCCACGCCGCTGAGCCAGCCGCGTGCTCGCTCGCCCGCCACCCTCCCGTTTCCCCTCTTCCTCCTCATCCTGTTGGGGGGCCCATCTTATACGGCCGGTCGACTTGTGTGCCGGCAAATACAGTACATTCTTAACCTACGATGGGCCATACTGAAGCACTTCCTTGAAAAGTGACTACCTATAAAAGTTTAAAAACATCTTCCATTTATTCTCAGCACAAAATTGTGGTTAGAAAGGGAGCAAGATTATAGTCTATTGGGCTGTTTCATTGATTCTTTGGCCATAATTCCATGCCAGTCCACAATCCTCACTTCACTTGCAGTATACCTGAGAGTTGTCAGGAAGTAAGAGGAGATGGAGACTCTCTTTTGAGACAGTAAGAAAGTTAAGAAATCTCTATCCTCAATGTCAGCAGCTCTCAGCTGAGAAGAGGACCAAATTCATATAAGCACCCAAACTAAGAATGTTTTTCATTAAACGTTGGCAGGTTTTTAATTTAGTGTACTTTTATTTTGTTTACTCAAGTATTAAAAACTATATTTCTGGCAAAGAATGAGACACAAAATTGTTTTCCTTTCCCAAAAGATGTTCTTCAAATTGAATATGAGAATATTCTCTAGAGCAGCCATTCTCAATGGGAGCCTTGGGACATTTGAAGGAGGCCACAGACTGGATACAATTTTTCACACACCACCTTACAAGTTTTGTTCTGCAATTTGGGCAATTGTGATTAGGCCCATACTTCTTTCATATTGCGTTTAACGCTGTGCCAAAAAAAAGTTGAAAATAGCTGCTCTAGAATGTCTTCTGTCATTGGATCTGTCTTCACTATGAAAGAATCTTTTTGGCTTTTTAAAATATTTGAGTTTGTCTTTTAAAACCTCTGCATAGACACTGTAAACTGGATTATGGATTATATACTGTACTACCATTCCATTCATCCTGTGCCTGAATACTTGAAAGTTCAGCTTAGTTCCAAGTATGCTTAGGCAATCATGACTGTGTTAATGATGAAATATTTCATTATCGAAAGATAATTGTGACATTATCCCATGGCCCTTGCTTGTTTCACCACACAAGGAGCTCACATGAGTATCCCAACACGTCCTTTACCACGCTGCCACCAGTTGATTTCTTTACCAACTATGTTTCCTATGAAAGACTGAGGTCTATTCGGTACTTAACTTTGAAATGAAACAGGTTTATTGGTTACAAGTTGTTTTAAGAATAGTTCTTAAACACATTCTTAAAGTTATACAAAGCGTTCTGTATTTTACTTTAACCTCTTCTATCTTAACTAATACAGAGAACCCTCTGACTATTCACTCTTTAAACTTCCTCTCTGCCTCAAAAGCCAAACTATCTACCTTTCTCTTCAAACCTCTCTATCTCCCTCAAAACTCTTATCTCTCCTCACACTCTGCTACAGTCCCCCTTCTATCTAGCTGACTCTGCCTCCCAGCAGCTCCCTATTGGTTCATGCAAATACACTGCTGAATATTCATGACAAGGTGACTGCTACAATAATGTGCACTGAATTTATTAGATGTATGGATTATAGGTTGAATACTGAAAGCTTATTGAAAACAAGAAAATTTCTCTTATTGCTGTATAAAGCATATCTGCAATCATGATCAATTTAGAGTTAAAAACTTTTGTCCCAGTGATCACAATAAGAAACTTGTGTGCATTCAGTTAAATATCACTTATAAAGGAACTTTATAAGTGCTAAACTAGCATCCCCAATCTGGTGCTCTCTAGACATGTTGGGCTACATCTCCTGTGATCCTCAGTCCATATGGCTAATGGCTAGCTTATATGAAGGAGATGCTATTTTGTTAATTAAAACTGGTTTCTTAGAAATTTGTTTAGAGGCATCAGGGGTAAATGATGGGCACTAAATATTATGTCCTCTTAGAAATGATGTCTCTCTTAAACTTGTATATAGTGGTTGCCTCTCAGGTAACCCTAAAAGTAAGCCAAATGTTCATACAATGTTGTCAACTAATAACATTTCATATCAAAGCTTTTGTGCATCTTTAATCTTCAGATTTTTTAAAACTACCAGTTAATTGTGTATATAAATAAATTTGTCCCATGAAATAAGGTTAGTCTTCATATTCTAAAGCACCCCTTTTCAGAAGTGCAAGAAAAAGAATGTTTTAAATAATTCAACAGTGGCATCAGTACAAAGTTTATAGCAGCTATCACATCCCATTGCCCTTCTGTGAGCTGTCCTAGTGATGTCAGTCAGCTGTGACCAACCTTAGGAATCTGTGAAATTGGAGAAAACACTTTGTCCAGCAGCTATGGTCTCTTTATTTAGACTTTTTAGAGCAGGCATGATGTTTTCTAGGAGCTGCAATTCATTGTTGTTGTTTTTAAGGTGAATAGTGACATTATTTGCGATACATCTGTGAGACTCATTGGCCATATTTATCTTGCTTATTTCATCTGATATTGTCTCCCACTCCCCTTTCTACTTGATTTAGGTTTTACTGTAAGCCATTATGGGGATTGTAGTAGTATAAAGAGGCATATAAATTTGAACTAGTGATAAACATATTGTCTTGAGTTCGGTACATGTGGCTAATAGTTTGGTTCATCTAAAACCTTTACATCTCTCTTTGCATTCACAGTATACTTTGCCCATTCTTTGGGATACAGTCTTACATATTCTCCGAGGCAAAGGCAGTATTCCCTATTGTATGCTCCAGATGCTGTTGAAACTAATTGTTCTCATGTTCAGTACTCTGCTCCTTGTAGTGATCAGAGTCCAGGTTATTCAGTCCCAGTTGCCAGTGTTTACAAGGTAAAAATTATATACTTATTAAATGTTAGAACTTGATAATGAGCAAAAAATTCTATCAGGTGTCTTGAATTTATTGTAGCATGAATATTCTGTCCATGTTTGTATGGTGGGTAGAGCAAGGCTTTTTTCCCCTCACACAAATTTACATCCATTTACAGTGGTGCCTCGCTTAACGATTACAAAACAATGTTCTAATAGGGAAAAATTGTTTAATGATGATTGGTTCCCTGCTTCGGGAACCGATTTTTTTGCTTGACAACGATTTTAAAACAGCTGATCGGTGGCTCTAAAATGGCTGCCTGCTGTGCAAAATGGCTCTCCGCTATGATTTAGGACAGATTCCTCGCTTTACAGGCACTGAAAATGGCTGCCCCTATGGAGGATCTTCGCTGGACGCTGAAGTATTTAGCCCATTGGAACACATTGAACTGGTTTTCAATGCATTTCAATGGCCTTTTTATTTCGCTTGACGAGGATTTCGCTTAACAGCGATTTCAACGCAACGAATTATCCTCGTCAAGCGAGGCACCACTGTAATTAGGGCTTGGACACTAAAGTAATGTCAGTTCTGTCAGTGCAGTAGAGCAGTAACCAAAAACTCTTGGCATGTGTAGGGATCTTTTTATGTCTTATATGAATGATTGCTAAAACAGGGTAAAATTGTTTGCCTTAAAAAGGTACGCCACCACATTTGAAGGAAGTTGCACTGTGTGATACAGTGTGACTTTGACCTTATTCTTGGTGGCAAATTTATGACATGGATAAAGTGTTCTTTTAACATATACTTAACATTAAGCTGCCTAACTAGTTCATGCTGTTGATAAAATGGCCTGGATTAAGCCTTGTCCTGCCAGGAATTGAAGGACTCCTTGTGTTCATGGAAGGGACAGGAAGAACAAAATGCCCTCCTGGGAGTACCCTTAAGTTTCCATGCACCCTGTCACTTCCTAAGGTGGCACAGCAGGGGGTGGGGGACTATAATAACAACTAATAAAAATCACCTCTCCCTTCCCTCAATAGTGTCCTATCTGCAGGTTCCACTCACACATAAGCCTTGCAGGTGACTGATAAATGGAGGACTAATTATGTGGCAGTGACATGGGGGTGCACATAAACTCTGCCCCTAGGTCCCCACCCAGAAGCCAGACATTCAGATATTCACCCCAAAGGTCTGCAGAGGTTCTTGTGAGTCAGAGCTCTTGAACACACATGTGTCCTAAGCAGATTCAGCTGAACACATTTACAAGCATCTTTGCAGAACTTTGTTGCGAAAAAGCAAAGTGCTTCATTCCCTAGTGTGGCTGCAATATGAGGATACGACTTACATGTGCACCCTATCCCACAACACAATTTTCTAGCCCTCTATATTTTCAGGCTTATCTGAAAAGAGCTGTAGTTTTTATCTAATCTGGTGAGTGTACGTTTGGTCATGCTTTGCTATAGTTTCTGATGACAGTGTAGTGACTAGGCCTCTATGGACTTCCAAATATTCTCTGATCCTCTCAAGCCCTGTTTGTTCCACTTCTACAGACCTGGAGTAAAAGCCAATGCTGTCAGTTTGACTTGCCAGATACGGGCCATTTCTTTGACTTACAGTTGCTCACTAAAGCAGAATTTGAGAAGGTGTTCAAGACTTTCTGCAACACCACTGCTCAGACAATAGATTACTATGCACTGGATCCACAACTGGCTTTCTACAAATAGAAAAGCTCTTTCTGTTGGCCAAAGGATCCAGGATCAAGTGTAACTGTTGAAGGAATGGTCAGGGCAGCAATAATTCCTCCTCCTTCAACCTATAGCTCTCAGTACTGTCTTCAATACTATTCTGGAGGGTCCCCAAACTTCTACTGCACATTTTCACGGGTACAGGGAACTGCAAATGGGTGAAAGACCAAAGGAGATCAATTCCTTTTCCCCATCCATAGGTGTATCCATTTGGTGGGAGGCTAATCCATGTAGCTCTGAGTCTAATACAACATGTTAAGATCAGAACTACTGTGTTTCCCCAAAAATAAGACAAGGTCTTATATTAATTTTTGCTCCAAAAATGCATTAGGGCTTATTTTCAGGGAATGTTTTTTTTTTCATGTACAACAAACTATGTTTATTCAAATATAGTCATGTCATTTGGTTGCTGCACAGTGGTAGAGGGCAGGGTTTCACTTAACTGGGGCTTATTTTGGGGGTAGGTCTTATACTACGAGCATCCTGAAAACTCATACTAGGGCTTATTTTCAGGTTAGGTCTTATTTTGGGGGAAACAGGTAGGTAGGTATTCTGTGTGATCTCATCAGGATGCCTGTTAAGTAAAAAGGTTTTAAAGCTGAAATGATTTGTTTTTGTTTTTAAGATTTGACAATCCTGCTGCTGTGAGCCCTTCCCCAACCAGGCAGCTAACTTTCAACTACCTCCTTCCTGTAAATGCTTGGTTGCTTCTAAACCCTTCAGAATTGTGTTGTGATTGGACAATGGGCACCATACCACTGGTGGAGTCTCTTCTAGATATAAGAAATATTGCCACAATCACTTTTTTCTGTTTTTTGGGAACATTGCTTGTCTTCAGTCTCCGTTATCCTGGAGATTCCTCCAAAACTGTATTAATGGTAAGTTGGCATTTAGCTCTGAGCTAGAGTTGAAATATTGGAACAAAGTCTGTAAACAAAATTTGCTTGAAAAAATCACCATGGTTACTCTTATGAAGATTTGGGGGGGGGCATTTCTTTCCCTGATGTGGTCTTCTGTCAGCTACCATGCTTTCACTGCTAAAGAAAATACAGTGGTTCCCCACATAGCGAGGTTAATCCGTTCCGGATTAACCATCGCTATGTGGAAACATTGCTATACGGAACAAAAAAGCCCAAATGGGTCCAAAACTCACTGTTATGCGATGTTCCTCCATAGCGCAGGCATTTTCGTGCCCTCAGTAAGCGAGGGCAGGGCGTGAAAACGCTGCGCGTGGCCATTTTGGGTGTTCCGGTGGCCATTTTGGAACCACCACTGATTTTTTAAAAACGCTATGCGAAGATCGGTAAGCGAAACGCTTACCGATCGTCGCAAAGCGAGTTTTTGCCTATCTAGGCATCGGTATGCGATCGCATTAGCAATCCCAAAAAACGGATCGCTATGCGAATTCGTCGTTAAACGGTGCGTTCGTTATGCGAGGCACCACTGTATCCTGCTTATTTTTCCAAGGGGGCAGTCATGTTAGACTGCCCCAACAAAAGCAAGGAAAGTCTTGTGGCACTTCAAAGACTGACAAATTTAATTTGACCTAAGTGTCACCTCCTTCTTCAGCTGAAATGGCCTGTATTCCATGAAAGCTTTTGCCATATAAGGTGTTTATATGGCAAAAGCTTTCACCTAAGTCTTTGAGATGTCACAGGACTCCTTTGTGTTTTTTTTTCTGCTTACTAGAAGACTCGTTCCATAGGCTTTGTTGGGTGTGAATCTGATTCTGAAAACCTTTTCAATGTGCCTTAAGTGCCACAAATAAAGATCCCTTAGTATATGGTAGAGTGGTTCTTTAATTGCTTCACTGATTAAAGGAAAATACAGTTACCTCCTTGTTATAGCCTTTGTAGATGGGTTCCATTCATGCACATGTTGGATGCAACATGGCAGGGCACCTTTGTGATCCAGTTCAGCTCTTTTGTAATGGTTGGTTCTTGCCATGTATCTGCCTATCCATCTCAGAATGTGTTCTTAGTGTTTGATACCAGGAAAAATGGATGTTGTCTTACGTTAGGTCAGATCTAACCATTATTATCTGTTCACACAACTGGTGGCCCTCCAGAGTGCCTTTCCTATTACTTGTCTCTTTTTCCTTTAGGGGGGTAAAGCCAGGAACTTCAGCACACCAAGCATGGGCACAGGTCATTTGGACTCTGAGAACCACCTGTCTCCCAGCTCAGGGAATGTAGAGCAGGGGTGGGTGGCTTTGGCGAGTCTGAGGCCAGTTTTCTACTCCTGGGACCCTCTGACAACCATGCCAGAAAGAAACCAGAAGTAGCTAAAGGTTCACTTCTGGTTTTAAAAAATAGGTATTTTTAGTGTTCATTGGTACAGCGCTGAAACCTGTTTGGAAAGATGATGTCCAGATGATTCCTGGAGATTTCAAGGAACAACTCAGTTGTTTTTCTGGAAAGAGAGAAGGCCTCAATAAGGCAAGAAGCCACAGAAAGATCCTTGGGAGCAGCATTTGGTTCAGGGTCACACTTTGTTCACACCAGATATGAAGAGCATTGAGTGAGCTACTTAAGTCTCTGGCAATCTCAACCCATTCATCGTCTTGTTTAACTGTGCAAGACTTGGCTCTGAGGCACAGGCAGCCATTTAATATGCCTGTTGGGGAACATCTAAACCACTGGTTCTTAACCTTGGGTTACTCAGGAGTTTTGGACTGCAACTCCCAGAAGCCTTCACCACCAGCTGTCCTGACTGGGGTTTCTGGGAGGTGCAGTTCAAAAGCATCCGAGTAACAAAGGTTAAGAACCACTGATCTAAACTGTAGTAATTCCTTACTTCTGGATATTATCAGCCCTCACAATAAGTCCTAATGGTGCTTTGTGTCCTTCAAAACTGCAGGACATTGAACTTGTTAGTTCAGCGCTCATTAATTATCGTCCATAGCCATTAAGTTGGAACATTGTATCTCTGTTGTTAAGACAATGTAGTACAGGCTGGTAATGAAAAATGAATCTAGTTTGCTTTTTCTTTGCCCACCTTTCTAGCATATATTTTAATTTATTTATTTGCTTCTTTTATATGCCACTTTTATCCCAGAACTATAAGCCAAGGCAGGTTACAAGAAGTTCTTAGAGACAGATTAAAACACAATAAAATGATGAACATTAAATTTCAATGAAATTGAAACACATGCTTAAAAGGCAATTAAAATTAAAACTCTTTAAAACATTTAAAATAATAGTGCTAATTGAATTTAAAATGATAAGAACCAGCCAAATTTTTTAACATTGTGCTATTTATCTTGCAGCATGTTTATGTAGCTGCAGATTTTTTTCCCTCTATGTGCTTAAACCCTTTGTTATATATATCTACACAATGTGGGTTTTGGGGCAGCAATTTTTTTTTGGTCAGGTTATGACAACATCATTCCAGTAGTGCTAGGAATGGAGTGAACATTGGGAGAAGATGACTTCCAGACAACACTGATCATCAAAGAGAATGAATGAGGGGTGGAATCTGAAAGTGAGATTGCTATAAATCACTTTCAATTGTTAAGAGAAGTGGTGTGAGTAGGCAAACAAAATTCAATGCAGGAGCAATCCCTGGGGATGACATAAGTCTAAGTAAACATGTCTATCAGTCTGGATCATCTGTAGACGTGTGAGATTTTCTTCTTTTTGTTTATTTTGCAGCTCAGTTATACTGATTACAGCTTTGACAAGAGCCCAAGTAATTCATTGCTTCAAACTGATTTAGTGACTTCAGATTATATGAAAGGATTGTACAGTGGCGCCTTGCTTGACGAGGATAATCCGTTCCAGCAAAATTGCTGTAAAACGAAATTGTCGTCAAGCGAAAGTAAAAATCCCATTGAAATGCATTGAAAACTGGTTCAATGTGTTCCAATGGGCGAAATACCTCAGCGTCCAGCAAAGAGCCTCCATAGGGCAGCCATTTTCCGGTGCCTGTAAAGCGAGGAATCCGTCCTAAAACACAGCAGGGATCCATTTTACACAGTGGGCGGCTATTCTGAAAGCCCGATGATCAGCTGTTTTGATCATCGTTAAGCAAAAAATCGTTTCCCAAAGCAGGGAACCGATCATCGTGAACCGATTTTTCCCTATTAAAACATTGTTTTGTGATCTCAAAAACTTCATTGTTAAGCAATTTCCTCTTCTAACAAGATAATCGTCAAGCAGGGCACCACTGTATGGGGCATTTTCAGTGACAAGAACATGAATCATTATGTCACTTGAAAATCCTGTATTTCTTCTTTGTGGTCTCTGTGAATCCACACTAATAGGTTAATCTGCCTCTGCGCAGAGCTCTCAAGAATATTCTAGAGCTCAAACATGCGTTCGCTAGGACTGCCCCCCCAAGTACACATCGTCCTCCCGTCGTGGTGATTACCTTAGTCCTTTTTGCCGCTGCTGAGGTCTCATCTCTCTGAGCTCTCCATTCGCGCAGATTGGTTCTTTTCCTTAAAAGGGGGGGGGACATAATTAATCGTTATTATTTTCAAATAGACTGTTCGATATACCTTTTGTTACTCCTTGTGTGTTTCTTCTCCACCACCACCCCAATTTTTCCCTTTTCCCTTTTTATGGCCCCAACAGGGCCGTTTAAGAGGTACACTTTGTGCACGAATAAGTTGCCGGTTTCTGACGGCCAATATTTTTTTTCTATTTTGTTTGGGAGAGTCGCATCAACCAGCTTCTTGCTCCTATTGCAAAAACTTTACTAAAGAAGCCATTAAGCTCTGTCAACAATGCCTTAAATCTTTTCTGTGGGAGCAATCTCTTCATCCACCATCCATATTGGAGGACTCCCAAGCTTCACAACTGGCACCAGTTTCTTCAGCCACCAATTCACCATTATAGTCTCCTAAACCTAAGCCAAAATTGTCGAAGTCGTCTGGATCAACGTCTCAATCCACCCCGACACCTAAGACTACTTCAAAGCCACCCAGTACCAAACTGAAGAAATCGAAAAAGTCTTCTGTAGATACCCAATCGCCGATACGGCATCCTTCCATACAGAATCAACCAATTATTGATCTTGATACCGACCATGAATCCATCCCGCCTCCGTCTGGCCAACCTCCCTTTCCTTTGCTCACTTAGTCTCCATCTTGGGCAGATAACCTCGTCTGAGGTGACTGTGCTGTCTTATTTGGCCTGTTTGAGCACCAAATCTTTGGGTTGCTCTGTGTCTGGGTGTGACTCTGGATCAATATACAGTGGCGTCCCGCATAGCGACGATAATCCGTTCGAAAAAAATAGTTGCTGTACGGATTTGTCACTATGCGGCGCAAAAAAGCCCACAGGAACACATTAAAACACGTTTAATGCGTTCCTATGGGGGGAAAATTCACCAGTCTGCGAAAATCCTCCATGCGGCCGCCATTTTCGCTGCCCGGTAAGCGAGGAAAGGGTGCAAAAACACTGCAGGTGGCCATTTTATTTACTCGGCGGCCATTTTGGAACCAGTGATCAGCTGTTCTAAAAAGATCGCTATACGATAATCGGTAAGCGAAACAGCTTTCCGATCATCGCAAAGCGATTTTTTACTATGTAAAACATTGTTATGCAATCGCTTTTGCGATTGCAAAAAACACATCGCTATGTGGATTCGTCGTTAAACAAATCGCTCGTTATGCGGGGCACCACTGTATGTTCCTCTTGATCCAGTTCCTATGCGGAAGAAAAATGCAAAACTCCACCACATCGATGACACTGGCCATTCTGATACCCTTATCTCACAGCCTCCAAGTCATTTGGGACTGTTGGTATCGCCAGACTCCCGGGCTCGACATCATCGGCCCAAACGAGTAACAGTTTATGAGCCTCCCCTTTACTATGAACCGCCACCTAAGCAGTATCAATCGGTATTGGCACCATGATACCGAACGTTATGTCAATCCCAACCGTTTATGGTATGCATACTATTATCCTTTGAACTCTTCGGCGTTCCCCTCACTTCCTCGATACCGTCCTGGCTACTACTACGGTCAGTCTTCCGATGATGAGAGCATTTATCCTGCTTTGGTACTGAAGACCTATAAGGAAACTCACACATGACATGTGTCAGCTGCCCTGGTTCCATCAACCTCAATACCGAAGTAATCAAAACCTTTGGTCGAACCTTCTGTCCCATCGGCTAATATGGCTGTCCCTTCTTGGAACCGCTCATCATCTTTACAAGTTACCAGAACTTACACGAGACCACCGCCCGGTACCTTGGACCACACCTCCTTGCACAATCGGTACAGGGAAGGCACGGTACCGGAGCCTCCAAACACCACCAGACAGATGCCCCTCCTGATACATCTACTTCATCATACTAGCAAGGCTCATCACTTTCACCAGAACATTTGTCGGACTCTGACTCCTCTGTTTCTATGGTCCCTCAAGAATCACCTCCCAATCTTCCTACTCCTGATTCCGATGTTGCTAATGCTAACCCTCTGAGGATTTCACCATCTGAGGATTTCTCCTCTTATTCCCAGTTAATCCTCCATATTGCCAAGGCCATGGACCTTGACGTTCAGTAACCAACCCAATCTGAATATGACAAGGTATATGAGGATATTGATGAGCATCAGACACCCCCACTTCATATGGGGTTCATTCCGTCCCTGCTCAAGCTCATTAAACGTTCTTCGGCCAAACCATCAGTGCCTTAGATCTTGTGCAAAGTCAAGAATCTATATAAGACCCACAGTACCAACACGGATTTTCTCTCCAAGCATCCCCCTCCTAATTCTGTGATTGTGAATGTTACCCAGAATCGTTCTCATAATCACTCCAACAACACTTGAAATAATAAAGAGGGTAGAAAATTGGACATTATCAGTTGTAGAGTTTATTCTCTCGCATCCTTTACCCTACAGGCTGCCAAGTATTTAGCTGCAATGGGAGCTTGCCACAAATTTCTTTGGAACAGGGCTCTTCCATCTCTACAGTCAGCCTCTGGAGAGTACAAACCTAGGGGACTCGCCTTTCACCAATATGCTATGGCACTAGCATGGCAGGAGCATATCACGGCATGACATATAATTGAAGCAGCCTCTAAACATATGGCCACAGCTGTAGCCTTACATAGACATGCCTGGCTATGTTCCACAAGCATTTCAGAAGATTCTAAAATCTCGACGGTGCTGGTCTGATGAGAAAACAGACAAGATCCTTGATAACCTACAAAAGATGAGAAAAACTGCACGTTCCTACAATACTCAGCCCTACTACAGGCCTCAGCGTTATCAGTGGTGTCATCAGTATCCCTTCCACAAGTCTTTTCCAGACAAGCAACACTACTTACCTCAACTGTCTTCCTCCTTCTAACCTCATCAGCACATTCAGAAACAGTGCCCTCGTCAATCCTTCAGGCGCCCTGATAAGAAAAGCAAACAGAGCCTCTGACTTTCCGACTGTCCTGCTTCCCACCCCATTCCCCTTCTGTCACCACCCGCCTCGTACCCCATTTTCAATCTTGAGCAACCGTGGTTCACAATGCTCACGTCCATGACATCTCAATCCATCCGTCTCCCTCACCTCTCTCATCTCCTCGCTCAGCATCATGGACAGACTTACCATCCCGACCTACAATCCCTGCACCTAACAGCTTAGTGGATCCTCTCTCCCTAAATGCAATCCTCACCCATTCCAGGAAATCAACCACAAATCAACTTTATTCATACAAGTGGTCTGCTTTCCAAAAGTTCACTCATCAGAATGATCTTCCTACGGCTCCTACTACCCTATGAGTGGTTTTGGCCTTTCTCTCTTATCTCTTTGAACGCCATCTCTCATTATCCACAATCAAAGCCTACGTGTCTGCTATCGTAGCTTACCAACCACAGGACTAAGACGCCGCCTTGTTATTCCAGCATCCCACGCTGAAGCGTTTTCTCTGGGGAGTGGCTCATCTCAATCCACCTAGGCCCTCTCCTATGCCCCAGTGGTCACTACACATGGTCCTCCAGCGTTTATCACTTCCACCCTTCGAACTTCTTGCCATTTCCTCCAAGCATTTCCTGTCCTTTAAAGTTTTGTTTTGCATGGCCATCACATCTGCCCGTAGAGCGTCCGAACTAGCAGCACTCCGTGTAGACCCTCCGTTCCTGCAATTTTGTCCAGATAAAGTCACCCTATACCCAGACATTTCTTTCCTTCCTAAGGTCATTTTTGATTTCCACGTCCATCAACCAATTATCCTACCTACCTTCTTCCCATCACCATCAACAGGTGTTGAGCAATCCCTCCACCTCTTGGATGTGAGGCGTGCCCTCACCTTTTATGTCAAAAGGACTGCCTCTTTTCATAAATCTAAGCAGTTATTTATATCACCTCGTCCACCTCACAGTGGGGCACAGATTGTGCAGACCATACCCATCACTTACCAGCTTGCCCAGAAACCTCTCCCTACCAGTGTCAAGCCTCATTCCACCAGGGCAATCTTCGCGGTGTACCTGTTCCAGATACCTGCAAGGCTGCTACATAGTTAACTCCATCGACTTTTGCATCCCATTATTGTTTGGATGTAAGGGCCAAGGCAGATGCAGCTTTCAGTCGCACAGTATTGTCTTCGGTCTTGCCATGACATGCCTCCACCTATAAGATAAGCTTGTTAATTACCCATTAGTGTGCGTTCACAGAGACCACGAAGAAGAAAGAGAGGTTACTTACCTGTAACTCTGGTTCTTCGAGTGCTCATCTGTGAATTCACACTTCCCACCTGTCGCCCCCTCTGTCAGTCACGTCTGTCTCATTCTGCAGGCAGTGATGGGCTTTTTGGGGAACTGAGGTAATCACCACGATGGGCGGACCATGTGTACTGTGGAGACAGTCCTAGAGAATGCATGTTTGAGCTCTAGAATATTCCAGCGATCTTTGCGCAGGCACAGATTAACCCATTAGTGTGAATGACCACTCGAAGAACCACAGTTACAGGTAAGTAACCTCTCTTTTTTAAACCACCATCATCTCCATATATTTAGAGGACCCTTTGTGGGGTATTTAAACATTGAGGGCATACTAAAATCCCAATTTTGCTTCGAGGTTAAGAAGCACAATGGATCAGGCTTATGTTATGCAAGGCTAGGCTTTTATTTATTTATTTATTTGTGACCTGACTAGAAATCTTTAGGAACTAAGACTTAGCCCGGGGAACTAGACATCCCTTTATTACTTCCAGCCTTCCTCTTTTTTCCTTTAGCAGGTTTTTTCCTATGCGTTCATTTTTCCTATACATTCATTGCCACCCAGAGTAGACCTTTGGTCTAGATGGGCGGGGTAGAAATATAATAAAATAAATAATAAATAAAAATAAATAATTTTGAAATGAGGTGGCTGAAATCCATTTGGCATAAATTTATGCCATGCCCGCTGGATGATACCACACACAGAGTTAAAACAACAACCACCTCCAGCATCACCAAGCAAACCAAAGCACATTAAAAAAAACTATTTAATGCACAGCATAACAAAAAAAAAATTGCAGACACAACAGAACTAAAACAGCCTCTTGCCCACATCTCATTTAGTTGCCTAGGCTCATCCCTACCACTCCCAGCTTAGAATTCCTCCCCTTTCCCTCTGTATGTCTGGGTAGGTTTCAAGGCCACTTAAGTTTGGGGACTGAATTTACCTGTTGACGCTTTAATAATTCTACAGAAGACCTAAGAATGCCTTTGTATTTTAAGAATGGGATGTGTCTTTGAATACCACCTTGAGGACCCCAGGAGTGGGTATCTTGAAAAGTCATGCCTGACTTAAGTCAGACTAAATTTCAGTAGGTCTGCTCTAAGCATGGTTCAACCCTGAAGCCACTGCTGCTTTGCACAAGCTGCAGTTAAGCCAGAACACTGTCAAAGGTGGCTTAACATCACAGTGGAAGTTGATAACCAATTTTTCCTGGTTTGAACAAAATGATTCCTTAGAAGCTTGCTGGTTTGACTGGTACACAGTTTGACAGAAGAGCAAAGGATCTGTGTGTGGAGCAAAAGGTTGTTCCATATCCTGGCTTAATGAGCACAGATAAAATAACAGTATGTGAACATAGCCAAAGAGATGCAGTTCAAACAGAAGGAAATATATGGATGCAGTTGGAGTAAGTCCAGTTTTAGAAGTCCTGTCATGTTTCTGAAGTTAAAACACACATTTCAACTGGACTTTTGAGAGGGGAAAATGTTCTGAAAGTAGAACCTTTTTTAAAGCTAATGAGAACTGGATCTAGTCTGTGTTTGAGTACTGGCTTACGAACGCAATGTGAGGTTTGTAAATGTTCAAATGTTCCCTAATCTAAAATGCCTTGCAAAGGTATTTGAGGTCAGCAAAGTAGAATGCAACTATATTAAAGAATCTCTAATCCACATGCACATTAATACTCAGATATTCTTTATGATAATTATGTAAATACTCTCTGTTTTGGGTTACTTTAAGTGTCCATGTGTCTTTTTCCTTTGCAATTTTCAGGCACTTTGTTTAATAGTGTTGCCTTTCATCCCAGCATCAAACCTTTTTTTCCCTGTTGGCTTCGTGGTGGCAGAACGAGTGTTATATGTTCCCAGTATGGGATTCTGCATGTTAATCGCCCATGGGTGGAGAAAGCTCTCAAGCAATAGGTAAGTTAAAAGTTAGTGCTGAGTGTGTGTTGGTTTTCAGGTGGCAATTGAATGTGGTGAAGTTGTATGAATGACACAGTTGTCTCAGTGGGTGAATCTCTTGCTTCACCTTTTTTTTCATTAATATAGGATTTACATTTGGAATAGGGAGTGGGGGAAGTGTATTCTGAAATAAATCTTCCTCTCATAAAAGTAATCATTAATGACTTGTCACTTAGTCCTATACATATTTCCTCAGAAGTAAGTCCTCTTCTACTCTGGATTTGAGCTTTGAACACGTTTAAAACAAAAAGTTTTGCATTGTTTTCATGTACAATGATCTGCAAAGTCTTTTGAAAAGTTTGACTTGTTTATATCTGCAGTACTGGGTTTTCTATAACCAATGAGGAGGATAACTTCATTATTTAATGCAATAAGTATTATAAAATAATTGGATTGCACTCTCTTACACTTGCATGGATGGCTTATCTGCATCTTTCCTCAATTTCTATTACTATTGTATTCTTAATGTCTGATTGGTTTACAAATTCACTGTTCGTGTGGGATGCAGTATCAATACTGACAATCAAAACATCAGCTAGTTATTTACTAATCTCTTTTGTTTTGTTTTATTAAAAATGGAACCCCTGCTTTTCTGAATAACACATAATACAATGCATATGTTAGAACATATAAGAAAAAGCAGATGGGGAACTGTCATAATAGTAAATTGAAAAGAACATATTAATGAGATGATGTTAAATGTATGTTCATCTAAGAGTATAATTCATTATTGGTGTTACAGTTTTATTGGCAATCTTAGTTTAGTTCACCACCAAGAAACATTATTTTCCCCAGTTTGTGGAATGTGATAAAAACAATTAATATATAATAACAGTTACAGCATTCTGCAATGAAAACAATGGTTCAACATGGGAAGAAGAAATTTAAGTAGTACCTGGAGGGAAGGCCTGTTTGAATAACCAGGTCTTAAGTTGGTTTTTAAAAATGCCCAGCGAGGGGGCCAGACGGATCTCGGAAGGGAGTTTGTCCCAAAGAGAAGGAGCCACTGCCGGGAAGGCCCGGTGTCTTATTTTTCTTTCCAGACCTCCCTCGGCATTAGACTCCTCAATCGCCCCTCCTGACTAGATCGAGTGGTATGGGTAAATCAACAGGGGTAGATCTAGATAGAGTTGTGCTTTTGTGTGCATCCCTTCTGAGCTTTAAAAAAAGGATCCCAAGCACTTTTCCCCTAAAAGGCTGAGTCATTTATTTTGGGAAGCCATGGAAATGCAGAGATAGAAATGAGCAGTCTAAAGACTTTTGGTTCCTGCCTGGAGTTAAAGTGAGAATGCCAGCCAATGGTATTAAAGCTACTAGTCATTTTCTCTGGGGTTTGTGAGTTCCCATATCCACCAAGGCCATAGAGACCCTGTTACTTCCCGTCACCTATTGGTATCCCAAGGTAAGTCACAAACATCATTAGTTAGGGAATAGTAGCAGATTTGTTAGGTTTGGCGTGAGGAAGATTTAGCTTGCTAAAAGCTACAGCAGAGGTCTGCTTATTTGAAACTGTACTTTCAAGCAAATAAACAGATAAATACCCCTGATCAAATTTTTATTGCATTCCTCTAGACATGGAGTCTGCCTGCTAGGGATGTGAAACTCTTTATCAATTTTATTGCTGGTGCACTTCTTAGAGTTTCCCCGTCCCAGTATTCTTCTCGCTCCTGGTTTCATATCAGGTTGAAACAATAAGAGAGGCATCTTTCCACACATATTGGGCATATTTGTCACTTTTTCACACATTTTTAGAATTTACGTGTTTTCTACTCATTTTCCCACTCAATAAAGCATGTTTGTGCATACTGTCAAAATATATGAAGCTTTCTAGGTTGCACGCGCTTTTCAAATGTATGCATCATCTTCTATCCATTTTTCCTTTGTAAAAAAATAACACAGACCTCAGAAATATATTGAATTTTGAAGCAAGGTACCCTGTGTGCCATTGCAAGTAGAGAGGGATGCAAAATGGTCAATGTTATCGGAAATACACTTCATTCTTTTTCATCCTTTTGATTTTCCTGTAAGTTCTCTTCCCCCCCCCCACCACATTAGAATCAATGGAAGGCTTTTGCCCACGTAACTAATACATGTGGAGGCATGAGTTCCTATATTTACCCAATTCGGGAAGGATCAGAAGATCTTTTCTGCTCAGATGCCAACAAAAATTTCTAAATCTGGGTGTGTGGTTTTGCTTTCTTGAAGAGCCAGATTCATTTTCAACTTTGAAACAGCTGTAATTGCTTTGCAGCAGAATTTATTTGCTGTGAAGGTGTTTGTTGCAGCTTACTAATTATGCTTTTATCCACATTATTCTAATACTTAATTTAATCTCTTCTTCATATCAAAGAATTAAATGATTAATCTTATTTCACTGGCATTGGTTTGCTTTTGGTTTTTTGTAAGAATCAGAATAAAGAAAATGCAGATTAGCTGTATCTAAGAAATTGGTTCCAGCTTGACTAGAATAATTTTGGGGAGGATAATGGTATCAACTGCTAGCTGTTTTCAAAAATTTTATTGAATGAATTGCCATGTGCTGAATAACCAGCAATGCTTTTTGAAGTAATTTTGTGTAATATCAGGACTATAGAGGAAAAGTAATAATCTGTGAGTACCTTAGATGACCTCTTTATTTCTGTTGGTGGGTTTATTTAATGAGGTGTGTAAGAATATACCATATTTTTTCGTGTATAAGACACCCCCACTTTTCTAACCCAAAATTTAAAAATCTAAGCAGGGCTTAGCAAGTGGAGGGGGGAAAGAGATAAAAACAATCCCACGGCTGCATGATCACTTTGATCCCTTTCCCCCTCATGCAACCATGGGATTGCTTTGATCATTTCCCCTCCTTTTTGCTAAGCCCCGTGGGACTTAGCAAGTGGAGGGGGAAAGCAGGGATCGAAGCGCTACAGGATTGCTTTGATTCCTCCTTTCCCCTCCACTTTCAAAACCCTGTGGGACTTAGCAAGTGGAGGGGGAAAGGGATTAAAGCGCTGCAGGATTGCTTTGATCCCTTTCCCCTTCCACCTGTTTTTATTCTCTCCTCAGCTTACTTCCATGTATAAGATGACCCTCAATTTTTAGTCTAAAGATTTCAGACAAAAGTATCATCTTAGACCACAAAGAACACCAAAAAACCTAGCTCCTGCATTTCTTTTTAAACTGCTCATTACATATGCAGTTGTTAAGCATAGCAGGATAGTTGAGTAAACCTTTAATTATATATACAGTGAATATAAAAAGTGTACACACTCCTGTTAAAGTGTCAAGTTCTGCGATGTAAAAAAATGAGACAAAGATAAATCATTTCAGAACTTTTTCCACCTTGAATGAGACCTATGAAGTGTACAATTCAGTTGAACAACAAACTGAAATCTTTTAGGTGGAGGGAAGTAAAAATAAAAAACTGAAATAATATGGTTGCATCTGTGTGCAGACCCTCTTATAACTGGAGATGTAGCTGTGTTCAGCAGTTCCTTGAGGCACTTTAAATGTTGGCAGATGTGTACTGACTCCTCCTTAACATGAATTTGAACATGATTGTTTGCTGCTCAACATGGAGGTGACTGAAAGAGGTGACTGAAAAATAAGGATCGTTTTTGTGAAAACTGGTATATTTAAGGGTACAGCACAAATATTGGCAACTTGTGGTAGACTAAGTCTAGAGTTATGTTAAATGCATGCTCTTTTCCTCTCCTCCCCCCTTCAACAGTGTGCTAAGAAAGTTTTCCTGGGTATGTCTGTCTCTGGTGCTGTGTGTTCATGCCCTAAAAACACTGCACAGGAACTGGGACTGGGAATCAGAATATACGCTGTTTATGTCTGCTTTGAAGGTACAAAATTACATTTCAAATTCTATAATTCTTACTATTCTGCATTTCTGAGAAGAAGTTGATAAAAGAAAACCTGCGAGGAAGGGACTGTTCCTCAAAGTAGTGGTCTCCACTACCAAATTCTTATAGAGACCAGTATGAATGTTTAAATTACATGTACAAAAGCATTCATAGAAAAACAAACCTGCTCGTGTCTTCTTACAGATGTTATATGAACTTTTCAAAGGGTTTTATGCTGCATTCACATTAGGTAATATAATTTTGAACAGAAAATTTTACTTTTTAAATTTATGTTGGATGTATCTGACCTTGGATAAGTAAAGCTGTTATAAGAATTAAAGTAATGCATGTTTCATTTTAAGATTGATGTATCTTAGGAAGAAAGTTTATGAATAACCAAAATTTCCTGACAAAGTTTAATATTAATTTGTGCTTCCAAATCAATGCTGACTTACGATGACCCTTTTCAGGATTTTCTAGGAAGAGAGTACCTAGAAATGGTTTTCCATTGCCACCTTCTGGGAGTGCTCAGGGACTGTTCAGCTTATCCAAGGCTACACAGTAGAGAATCAAATTCCCAATCTCTGACTCAGTAGCCAGATACCTTAACTGAGCTATCCAACCAGCATGTATTTATACAATGGGGTACAGTGGCTAGAGATTATTCTTCCAAATTTTAGTAGATTGGTATATGGTTAAAAGCTGATTAAAGGCATTTTACATAAAGGCCTGTCTGACAGAGGTGGGGAATCTTTAACCCTCCAGATGTTCTGGACCACAACAACCCTCACCTTCAAATAGGGCTGCTAAGAATTGTAAGCCAAAACAGTTGTAAGCCAAAAGTTCTCCTGCCAACGGAGATATGTGAATAGATATGACTTTGCTCACAGATTATCTATGGATTTGAGCTTTCCTTTTGTACAGTAGGATGCCTGTATCCATGGGGAATTGGTTCCAAGCCGCCATCCCCAATGCTGAAAACAGCTACAGTGAATGCTATATGTAGCATGGTAAAAGAAAAAATCCAGAAAAAAAATATTTTCACTATCTATTATCAGAACTGACCATTAGAGGGAACTAGAGACCATTCAGAATGCATAGGATGGTCTCTGGCTGCCCCTAGTGTCCATTTCTTGTAAATACATAGTGAAAATATGTGCGGTCCTCTGAAGATGCCGGCCACAGAGACTGGTGAAACGTTAGGAAGAACAACCTTCAGAACACTGCCAAAGAGCCCGAAAAACCCACAACAACCAAAGTATGTTTCTATTTTTAGACCGTGGATAAGTTAAAACTGTGGATACCAATCCTACAGATACAGGAGTCGTACTGTATATTGATTTGTTTATATAAGTTGATTTGCTCAATTCCAAGAACCCTTAGGATTTTCGGTATGCATGTGAGAAATGCCAGCATGCACTCAGAAGGCCCACACAGGCAGAAAGTGTATTTGCACATTAGTGTATCAAAACACCCACTGCTTCTCCAAAATCCAAGAGATTCAAGTATCAGGTTACACTTCAACAAAAGACCTCTGCTTAAATGGTACAAGTTTGATATGTTCTACAGTTTTATATTTCTTTCCTATGATCAGGTGAATAAAAACAATGCCAAACTCTGGAATAATGTGGGTCATGCTTTAGAAAATGAAAAGAACTTTGAAAGAGCATTGAGATTCTTCATACAAGCCACTCAAGTGCAGCCAGGTGAGTTGGAAACAGTGGTGTAGAGCGATCAGCCAGGATATTGATGACTATGCCAAAACCTATACTAGATACCAGACTGTTGAATAATAAAATGCAGCCTTTATAACACCGTGGAATCTTAGGACCCTAAATAATTACATATGTGTATAATTACTTGCTAGGTTAGATCTGTTTCCATTCTCAATCCAGCACTAGAAACATTATAAGCAGATATTGAAAGAAGCATTTTTGTTGTTTCATCTAGCTATTATTAAATTAGTTACAGTGGGCCCTCGACTTACGACTTAATCTGTTCTGGAAGTCCATTCATAAGCTGAAACGTTCGTAAGTCGAAACCAAATTTCCCCATAGGTATGCATTGAAAATTAATTAATGTGTTCTTATGGGGGGGAAAAGGTCAGAAATGTAAAAATAAATAAAAGAAAGTCATTTACCAGGCCTTGGTAGCCCCCGAACTGCAGGAAAAAGAACACCAAACAGCTAAAAGCTGGGAGCCTAGCAGCCATTTTGTACTCTTCTCTGCTCCTGCCCCCCTCTCCCCGCCTAACAGCTGATCGGCTAGCTCTTAAGAGGCTTCCAGAGGCTTGCTCAGCATCTAAAAAGGCAGTGGAATAAAGCTCCCCTGCTTTCAGAAGCCTCCCGGGGGCAAGGGAAAAGCATTTTTTTATTTCCAGCTTTAGTCCCCTGCCTTTTAAGGTGCTGAGGAAGCCTCTTAAGAGCCAGCCGATCAGCTGTTAGGTGGGGAGGGGGGCAGGAGCATAGAAGAGCACAAAATGGCTGCCAGGCTCCCGGCTTTTAGCTGTTTGGTGCTCTTTTTCCTGCAGTTCGGGGGCTACCAAGGCCTGGTAAGTGACTTTCTTTTATTTATTTTTAAGTTTCTGACCTTTTTTCCCCCTCAGCTGAGAGGCAGGGAGGGAGGGGGGCTCTTTTTTTTCTGTTCGTAACTGGAGGGAAGTTCTCATGTTGGGTTCCCTATTTCCCTATGGGAGCGGTTCGTAAGTTGAATTGTTCGCAAGTAGGGCAGTTCGTAAGTCAAGGGTTGACTGTATTAATCTTTGAATGTTAGCTGTCTGAAGGAGAGGAACCAGAACTGAGAAATGTTGTTTTTGGTCTACAGAATTCTGCAGCCAATATGGTCATGAGTCATACCAGCTAACAGATTCTGGCAATCATATTCTGAAAAAGTACATTTTCTAAGCTCCTGAGTGGAAAATTATTTACTTTGTATGCTTATGGTCCAACTTCAGCTACAGGCATCTCCAATTAAAAGGATCAAAGCATGGATTTTTGGAAATAATTCAACTAAAGACTCCAGAGAATTGGTTCTTATAGGTTTTTCGGGCTGTCTGGCCATGTTCTTGAAGTTTTTCTTCCTAACATTTCGCCAGTGTCTGTGGCCGGTATCTTCAGAGGGCAGGAGTCAGAACTCTGTGCTCTGGTGCAGTATTGTGGGATAGTTGAGTATTCATAGCTGTGGGATCAGCTTTTTGTCATTTTCAGGAGATTGGGTGATTATGGTGATCAGCGTGTTTTTTGTTGTGGGTGTATTCTTGTGATAAGGGGAAGAGATGATCTGTCATTGTGATTGATGGGTGTTAATAGCTGGTCTTTTGTGTGCAGTGATCGCTGGTCCTTGTGGCTGAGTAGAGTTCATTGACCTTTTGCAGGCTGTGTTTTTCAGTGCTGGGAGCCAGGCTTTGTTGAGCTTTAGGCTTTCTTCTTTTTTGTTGAAGCTCTGCTGGTGTTTGTGGATTTCAATGGCTTCTCTGTGCAGTCTAGCATAATGATTGTTGGTGTTGTCCAGTACCTGTGTGGTTTGAAATTGAATTTCATGTCCGGCTTGTTTCAGGGCATGTTCAGCTACTGCCTGTTTTTCCATTTGTTTTAGTCTGCAGTGTCTCTCATGTTCTTTGATCCTAGTGTGGATGCTGCCTTTTGTGGTTTCAATATATACCTGACCACAACTGCAAGGTATCCGGTATACTCCTGCAGTGGTGAGGGGGTCCCTTTTGTCCTCTGCTGACCATAACATTTGTTATGTATTTGTGGTGGGCCTGAATACTGTTTGTAGGTTGTGTTTTTTCAAAAGTTTCTCCATGCAGTCCATGACCCCTTTGATGTATGGCATAAATACTTTATTTGTGGGCGGCTGTTTTTCCTCTTCAGTTTGGTGTTGTTTTTCTTGGTTTGATGGCTCTTGTGATTTCATTCTTGGAATAGCCATTTGTCTGTAGGGCCCAATTCAGATGGGTCAGTTCGGTGCTGAGAAATTGAGCTTCACAGTTCCGATTTGCACAGTCTACCAGTGTTTTGATTACATATGCCTCTTTTTTTATGGGTGGTGGTTGGAGTTTTTGTGTAGGTATTTGTCTGTGTGGGTGGGTTTTCTGTAGACCTTGTTTAGGAGGTCAGGTTTGCGCATGACCATGACATCTAAGAAAGGGAGTTGGCCCTCTGTTTTCTTTTTCTGGAGAATTGCTGCTGTTAGAATACAGTGATGCCTCAACTTGCGACCATAATCCATTCAAGAAGATGGACGTAACTCAAAATGATCATAAGTCGAAGCACCATTTCCCATTGAAATACATTGGAATGTGATTAATCCATTCCAGAAGGACCCCCCCCCAAAAAAAACCCATAAAAATAAAAGACTGCAAGCCCCATAGGAAAGTGCTGGGGCTGCAAAAAAAAACAAAAAAAAAACCCAAACATGCCCAAACAATGGAGCTAGCTCCGAAGGTGCTGGGGCTTTAAAAAAAACAGAACCCAAAAATGAAAAATGGAGCAAGCCCCAAAGGTGCTGAGGCTTCAAAACAAAACAAAACAAAACAAAAAATAAGCAACAGAGCAAGCCCAATCAGAAGGTGCTGGGCTGCAAAAAAAATAAAAATAAAAAAATAAACAGGGCAAGCCCCAAAGACACTGGGGGCTTAAAAACAACAGCAACACAGCACAGAAACATAACCCCTCAGCCCAAACCCACCCTGCAAAACCAATCCAGAACAGTTTTAAAAAGCAGAAAGCAGCACCTTACCTTAGCCAGCAGTCCCAAGTCTCCCTGCAAACAAACACACTCTCACTCAGAAGCAGAAGCCAGGCAGTCCCAAGCCTCCTCCAGTGCACTCACTCTAACCATTGGGACTACAAAGAGCTACAAAGAAGCAGCCTCTTTGCCTACCAATGGTTAGCAAATTTGAATTCCCTGCCTAGAAGTCCCTGCAATGCAGGAAGTCCCTGTATGCAGGAAGTCCCTGCATACAAAACCCATCGGAAATGGGGAAAGAAAGAAAACCAAAAAGCAAACAAACCCTGCAAGAGCCATCGGAAATGGGGAAAAAACCCAAAAAACAAGCACACACACCCCAAGAACCATCGGAAATGGGGGAAAAACTCCAAAAAAGCAACCAAACCCCCCAGACCCATCAGAAATGGGAGGAGGTGAACCAAAAAACAAACAAACCCCCCAAAGACCCATCACAGCACAGAAACATAACCCCCCCAGCCCAAAACCACACTGCAAAAACACCCAGAACAGTTTTTAAAAAGCAGAAAGCAGCACCATACCTTATCAGGCAGCCTCCTCTGATCGCACACACTCTAACTGTTGGGGTGAAAGAGCTACAAAGAAGCAGCCTCTTCGCCACCAACAATTAGCAATTTGAATTTCCCGCCTTTTTCCCCTGCCTTTTTGTGTTTGTCACTGGAAGCTCCAGCTGTAAGTCGAAGCAAAATGTTGCGACTGGAGCTGGTTGTAACTCGAAATGATCATATGTCGAGACGTTCGTAAGTCAAGGCACCACTGTAGATGGTACTAGTATGAATCTGGCTAGTACTAGGCAGCAACTTATGTTCTTGGGGTGGATTGGGTTATTTTTAGTTTAAGAATATGTGTAAGAAATCTGACATTCTAATGTACATGTGTAAAGAACTGCTCAGGACTGAACTCTCCAAGCATTAATTTTCAAAAATGTATGTACATAATTTCACTTTCAATAATGAGTGAACTTTTCTAGATTATTCTAATGAATCAATGTGGATAGATACTGTATTGACATTCGGACGTTATTCAGATTTGTATGGCAAGCTAAATAGAATTCCTGACTCCATTGTTTTTTTGGTTGCATTTAAGATGTTCATGACTTGTTTCTAAGGCAAGGTTTTTAGGATGAATTAAAAGAATTATGTGCTGTGTTTTTACCTTACATTTGAAGATGATATTGGTGCCCATATGAACGTAGGGAGAACATACAAAAATTTAAACAGAACCAAAGAAGCTGAAGAATCCTATTTGGTGGCAAAATCACTGATGCCACAGGTGAGTAGGAAGACAGTTCCTCAAAAGCCATTCCTTTGAAAACTTTCAGTAAAACTCTCCTCTTTAGGCAACAGAATTCTATGCTAGTAAGAATTAATAATTCGGTTTTATAAGATCTTATGTTATAACATAAAGACCTGTGTATTTTGCATTCTGTTTCCACAGTGGCCAACCATGTTTCTGGAAAGCTCATAAGCCAAACATAAGTGCTACAACACCATCCTGCTCAGTTTCCTTAGCCACTTCATATTCTGAAGTAATTTGTCTCTGATGCTTGAAGTCTTGAGAAGGGCCTAACATTTTTTAAGTGTGGCCAAAACATGTAGACATACAAGTGTGACCAAAATGAGTTATATGCATATGTGTGCATGTTTGTGTGCATAAGTATTTATGTCAGGTTTTTTCTTATGTTATACAGCATCAAATGAAAGTAAGAAATCATGTAAAGCACTAAGTGAGGGGCAACAGAGTTCAGCCATGCTCTGCTTTTTAGAATTTCCCCTCGTTTTTGTAACATTTATGACATCCAGAATATTCTAAAATCAAAATCCATGGCAGGTAATATGATGTATATAGTTCTTTCATTGCATGTCTCTGCCAAAGAACACACAGTTTCAGTGAAAATAATGGTTTATTGACATTAGTGCCATTGCTGCTGCTGCCGCCACCGCTGTTGTTGTTCCAAGTCCCAAAGTTCTCCAGGAACTTTCAGGGAGAATTCTGGGAGTTCTTGTTCAGAGACACGTGCCTACAGAAACCTTCACACACCTACATATCGCTCACCTGGAACAGACCTTTCTTCGAGGTGCTCTCATGCCTGCTTCTTGTACAAAAAAGAAACTACCCCTTGCTTCTTGCTCATTGGGCTCTACTAAAGCACTGTCCTCCAAAGAACTACATGTCCCACAAAGACCTTGGATTGGGACAGTTTCCTTTTATATAGCTGGTGGTCTGAGAGGGGGTTTGAGTGGATTGTTGTGCTGTTTTTTAAAATGTGTTTTAATATTGATTTTATTTATCATTTTAATGAAATGCTTGTTTAATTCTTTTTTAATATTTTGTAAACTTACTGTTATACTTTTGTAACTTTAGCTTTTAAATACTTTTTTTAATGATGTAAGCCGCCTTGGATCCTTTTGAGGAGAAAGGCGAGGTAAAAATATTTTTTAAAAATAAATAATAGGAAATAGTTGAGACAACATGGAAGAGAGGCCTGTTCTAGGTGAGTGAAATGGAGATGTATGAAAGTGTCTATAAGTGAGCAGGAACTCCCAGAATTTTGCCTGGGGAATTCTTGAAGAACTCTGGGAGTTGGAGTCTATCAAAAATAAAGACAACATGAATGGCACACCTCTAAAAGCTAATTTCAGTCAAAATAGTGGCATTTTAGAGATTTGTCTGATCTTGAAAACTTCATCTTATTTTTAAAAACTGCTATGGCTTTTTACAAATTTATGTTTCTGATTTGGTTATCAAACTCTAGGTCATGCCCTTCTAAACCTGATATAGTTTCTTCCACTGTCAGATTATTCCAGGTAAAAAATATGCTGCACGAGTTGCTCCCAACCATCTGAATGTTTATATAAACCTTGCAAACCTGATTCGAGCAAACGAGTCTCGTCTGGAAGAAGCAGACCAGTTGTATCGGCAAGCCATTAGCATGAGGCCAGATTTCAAACAAGCATACATTAGCAGGTACTTTCTGTTGAAGATGTTCAATGCATTCATGTAACTGTAAGTAAAATAACATGCCATGGATAGGAAACCCCTCCCCATTGACAGCTAAATCATTTAAAAATTAAAAATGAATCCCTGTGGAAGTAGGCCTTGTTCATTCTCCATCTTTATAATTATTTTTAGGTCACCATCAAGTGTACAACTCTTTTAAGGCATCTCATACAGTAAAAAGGAATGCCAGAAAAATCAATAGAAACATTGCCTCTACTCAATTACTAAATGTAATGAATATATATCAAAGAAATGCTTTACCTTACTGGGAAACATACTGGTTTTTCCAGGAGAGGCCTCCTGTAATAAACAACTTAGGAAACATTCATGAAAGTTTCAAAGACACAGAGTTAGAACACATTTCAATTTTGATCTTACAGTCCAGGAGCCATAAAAATACATAGTTTTACTCCTGTATCCCTTCTAACTTCTTTGCAGCAAATATGCTTGCAGGTAGCCAGAAATAGTAGCCCTTCCTATATTCACATGAATATGGGACAGTCATATTTAACATTCTAGGCCAGGGGTCACCAAACCCCTGGTCCGTGGACCAATCCTGATCCATGGCCTTGCCAGGACTGGGCCACAGAGACAAATCTCCTGCCCCCCTGCATGCGTAGACACATGCATGCCCCTCCCACACACCCACGGCCCCTCCCATGCAAGCATGGCCCCTCCCACGGCCCCACAACTGCACACTAAACTGATATTTGGAGGCAAAAAGGTTGGGGACCACTGTTTTAGGCAAAGGCTTATCATAATGTTATTTATTTATTTAAATTCCCTGGACGTGTATCATTTCCCAATGGGAAGGCCTTCCTTTTCCCTGTAATGGGCCTGTTAATCTGGGCCCAATTCCAGTCCTACAATCAAGCAGTGATGACAAAGAACAATTGCTTTAAAATCAGGTTGGAATGTATTGGTACAGATATCCACACTGTGTGTATGTCCTTCTTTCCGTATGTTTGTAGGACAGCTATCAATATATGAAGGCCTGACCCAGCTCTTCAGTTTATCTCTGGTTTCCTCCTTGCCCACCTGACACAACATTGACCTCACTGTAATAAAGACTGCAATGCCTGTGCACTCTTGGCACCAAATAAATGTTTAATTGCAGACAGATGGATGGAAAATACAGCTGACACTTTGATTCCTTCACAGGGGAGAATTGCTTCTAAAAATGAATAAGCCTTTGCAAGCTAAGGAAGCTTACCTTAGAGCTCTCGAACTAGACAGGACCAATGCAGACCTGTGGTATAACTTAGCAATTGTTTACATTGAACTGAAAGATCCAACTGAAGCACTGAACAATTTCAACAGGGCATTAGAACTGAATCCCAGCCATAAATTGGCACTATTTAATTCTGCACTCCTGATGCAAGAATCTGGTATGTATGTTCCCTTACCACTCCCAAGTATGTCCAGTGTTTGTTTGTTCATTCTTCACACATACCCACTTACTCATTGACTGCTACCACTTGTATTACTTGTATATGGAATATGAAGTGCACACAAATTGTATTTATTTTGAAGATACCTTTGAAAAATTGCCTCTAAATCCCTTTTAAAATATAGGCTATACCTTGCTTTCATATACTGCAGTGCTAACTGTATGGTGAGCAAAATAAATACTATTTCATTTCAATTTAACACAAAACTCATGATAATGATGACTGTAATTGTTTTAGTATCTGTACCGCTGTTCGTAGTGTTATGTTAATAACATGTCTTCCATTGCTTTAGGTGATGCTAGACTTCGACCAGAAGCTAGGAAAAGACTTCTAAGTTATGTAAAAGAAGAACCTCAAGATGCCAATGGCTATTTTAACTTGGGTATGCTTGCAATGGATGACAAGAAAGATGCAGAAGCTGAAACCTGGATGAAAAAAGCCATAAAACTACAACCAGGCTTCCGAAGTGCTTTGTTCAATTTGGCACTGCTTTATTCTCAAACTGCAAAGGAGTTGAAGGCTTTGCCAGTTCTAGAAGAGCTACTGAGGTACTATCCTGATCATACCAAAGGTTTGATTCTGAAAGGAGACATTTTGATGAACCAAAAGAAAGACATAAGGGGAGCCAAGGAGTGTTTTGAAAAAATACTGAAAATGGACCCCAACAACGTTCAAGGAAAACACAACCTTTGTGTAGTTTATTTTGAGGAACGAGATTTCTTAAAAGCAGAGAGATGCTTAGTGGAGACACTAGCTTTAGCTCCACATGAGGAATACATCCAACGTCATTTAAGCATAGTCCGAAGTAAAATCATTTCACTTGGTACAGGGGAAGCATCTGCGGTTCCCACAGAGAAGACCATAGCTGTGGAAGAAAAAAAAACTCCATCTGAAAACTTGAAAGGGGCAAAAAATGATCAGAAAAGCTCTCGGACCACAAACAGTAATAGCAACAAAGGGCAGACAAAGCCCAAGAAACAAGTGGACAAAAATACCACAGATAAAGAGACAAAAAAGAAATCATCAAAAGAAATCAAAGACATTGAGAAAAAAAGGGTTGCTGCTCTGAAAAGACTAGAAGAAATTGAACGTATACTAAATGGTGAATAATTGTTGGTAGACTTCCAGAACAGGAGGTTGATACTTGCTTCCAAGGTGGTATGTGTTCAGTCAAAATGACCACTAGGTGCTTTTTGAATTTGGAGATAATATTTGAAAGCATATCATGAGGGAGAAAAAGGAATCAAGAAGAAGCTGTTCCTCCCACACAAAAAAGAAATTGGTTCTGGAAAATCACGTTTTTAGGTCATGGTTTAAGGAGTTGAGCTTCACTCGCATGGATTTCTCTGCCAATGGAAACTATAATTCCAATGCTACTATCTAAAATTGTGGCCTGTTTCCTGGGAAGCAAATTCCACTGAACTCCAAGAGTGCCTGCTTCATAATAAACCTATTTTGAACCAGGCTGCAAAATAATAGGAACCAGATACCTTCCATTCTGTATCATCTCAACTATAAAATGCTAGAAGGGGTCTTTTTGTTTTTAATTTTGAAAAGATACCTCAGGTATGATGGTTTCTAGACTATAAGTGGAATTCAAGTGCTGTAGGAATGGAACTTTAGTCTGGATAACAGTTTAGCTTGCTCACTGAGTCCTTGATTATTTTTCTAACTATATATTAACACACCACAGTTCTGTTTCCAATACCACCTCAAAATATCACTGTCCCAAAATGTGTTGACAATTAACTAGCTAATACTGCTGATATGATGTATGTGCATGCATGCATTTTATAGGATTTTTTTTCAGACTTGTTTGGTTGACGCTAAAAGTGCAGTGGTTCCCTTGATCCTGTGGGTGGAGTACAAAACACAACAGTCCCAGAAAATAACACCCACTAAAATTGATTCTGATGAGTTTTACATTTCTGTAGTATCTTAATTATGTTTTATGTACAGAGGGGTTTTGTCTCAACAGTTACTCCCCTCTACTATAAGAGATCAGTTTATTTCTAACCCAGCTAAAGTTTAGAACATCAGTGTTTCACTTCTAAAATTATCATTTTCTTTGTTCCTCAATTAAGTAATATACAGTATATGGGGCATTTCCTATTTTAAACTTCCTGTTGATGAACAGGAAGTAAAACGCATCCGGTAAAATGCAAAATGATGCAACTTTTTTACAATCATTGTAATGGTATTTTATTTCTGGGAATTTATACATCAACTAGAGTATATTACAAAATGTCTGCTATTCAGGAAGATGATTAAAATTGTACTCCTGTGTACACTTAATTGTAAATAGGATTTATGTTGAGTTGCGGGTGCAGTTATTCAATGGTAGGGTATTGCATGCAGGAAAATTCCAGATTTAATTCCTGGCATCTCCCAGTATGCTATGAAAGGCCCTTGTAGATCTGCTGCCAACTGGGGCAGTAGTGAGCTAAGCAGGGTTAATGATCTTGACTTTGCATAAGGCAGCTTCCTATAATCCTAATATAGAAAAATCAAGCATATGGCCATAAAATGGGACTGTTATATCACCACATGGCGTTAAGGAAAAATAAAAACCCTGAAGGCTGCCCCATCTAATCCAGATGCAGATTATGTTGGATTGCAACCCCCCATAAACCATTCCAGCATAGCCCATGGTGAGGAATGTTGAGACCTGAAGAAATCAACCTCTGGAAGGCTGTACTTCACCCATCATGGTCTAATCCCTGCACAGAAAAGACTTCCAAGTAGGAAATAGTGTGCAACAAGTGTAGATCATCATGCGTACAAAGGAAGATGTCATGTGAGGATCGCATGTACTTAATTCACAGTTTGCTTTTATGTTGTTTTCTATACACACAGTTTCTGCATTACTTCCTCAACTGTTGACTTCTGGTTTAATTTCAAACTAAATGCACAAAACACTAAATGTGGGGGTTTTAATTAAATATTTGTTCAATCTACTAAGTTTCAAAAGTGTTTCCCTCCACTAACACTTTTGCCAAAATAAGGTAACTCAGTTCTTTATGTGAAATGCCTACATTTTAATATCTATGACAATGCTTTTTTCCCTCATAAATATTTTGTTGGGGGTGTTTTTTGTTTTGTTTTTCTTTGATGGCATAGCTCCCTGGGAACTAAAGGGAAATATAAACCAGCAATCCGTTATAATGTTGCATTTTTTCCTTTCTTGTCTCAATTGCCTTTCTTCCCTCACACTTCTTGGCATCTCAGCATGACTTGTGCTTAGTATGGGCTCCAAAACAATATGGATTTTTATTTTTATTTTAAAACACGCACACATGCACATACCAGTCCACAAGACCAGACAGCATGAGTTTGCCAGGCAAGGATTGCAATCATTACTGTAGCACAAATTGGCTTTTAAGTTTCTACAAGTTCAACAAGAAACCTGTGATGTGTTTTGAAAGGACTGCTGTGGGAACTTTGATAAAAATTAAGTGTGAAGTCCCAACAGACATGTGGAGCTGGCCTTCTAACTCCTCTGGAGTGTGGCCATAAAGTATCACAAGAAAACATCATCTTTGTTGTTTAGGAATACTAGGGCCTGTGCAAAGTGCCAGAAATGAGGTTTACGCAACTCTTCATATGCACGCGGACAGCAGACACATGAGAAAAGAATTTTGAAGTAGGGTTTTGTAAAGAAAGCCTAGCCCAGAGAGTTAGTAAGATTCACAAAGTAACTCACTGCTCTGTAGTTCATTTAATAGATGTATTCTGGTTAGAACTAACAAATATTTAGATTTAAGCCTGTCAGCAAACACACATGGCTTCTTGGGTGGCGGGGGGGGGAGGCTTCATGTTAGCGTTGGTGGATGTAGATGTATACTGTACAACTTATGCATGTGGCATGGGAGCCTACTGAATCAGGGCTCCCCTCACACAATTAAGTTGTATATGTGTGCCTGCTGGATTTATGCAGTCTTTTCACGTAACAGCCAAGCATGTAAACCAAGGAAAAATATGTGTGGCCTGAGTGGGGTAACAAGGGCATAGTAAATGCAGTGCTAGACCCGTGTCCCACATACACAACACACATTTTTGGAGGGAAAATGCAGTTGTGCAAACGTTCCGGCTGACTTCTGATTTCAAGTAATGGAAGACAGGTGTTCTCTGCCCATACTTTCAGTCTGCACACCCCAGAAATGGGAGCTACTGATTAGTAGCCATTCATGTGGAAGTATCAAATAGACTACAAGCTGGCCACTTGTCATGTAAGACCTCTATCAAAGCATCATACTAAATAATATTCTTGATCTGAATTTGGAAACAGCCCCTCTCTCCAGTGGTGAAAGATGTCTGTCATATGACATGCTTCTCCTTGGACAAGTATCTTGCATTTAGTATGTTTTATGCTGTGATTGGTCAATACAAACCTAATTTCCAAGTTTGATTGTTGAGATTCATGTTTCTGAGGAAATCATCATTTGGGAAGGGAACTGTGGTAGTCACAAAGAATGCCTATCCCAGTAAGAAAGACTGGAAATGGCCTTTCAGTGGATATCTTGCAGCAAAACGGCCAGGTTTCCTTGGGTCTGGGATTAATATAAATGCATTAAATGCCACCCAGCTTTTTAGTTGGCCTATGTATCAGTCCTACCTACATTTTTCCTAAGGGAAATTTGGCAACAAAGAAAGAAAAAAACTTTTTCCAAGCTTCTCAGTGAGAGTTCAAAGGTGTTATGTTCCCAAATAACAGTTCTATGCTTGAATGTTCTATATAACTTTTCTTAAAATAGAAAAAGAAAAAGATCATCACAAAGCTATTTAAATTGAGCAAATTCACAGTAGCTCTACAATGACACCCTGTAGTGACTGTGTTGAGAAAATCTAATTCCATTCAGTTTGATCATGGTGTCTTTTCACTTTATATGGCTTTTATTGTAGCCTTTTGTAAGATACCTCCTAATCTACATTGTAATGGAGCTCTAAAGCTCATTCTGAGCTGATGCACATCTCTGTAAGAATCTTGTATGCATTCCTATAGAGATTGGATCCTATGCACAATCAATGGAAGGTAGCTTATTGTACGGGGCTTGCTTGTCCTCTCCACCGCTGCCCCAAAAGGCAAAGACTGGGGACCCTTGCAAATTATGTGGGATAGGGTGTGAGGTTGTCATTGGAAAGCATAGAATGGACAAGCAGATCGCACACATGTTATACTTACATCCTGTCTTTCTTCCAGTGAGATCATGGCAGTGCAGATGGCTCTCCCTTTCCTTGATGTATCTTTCCAGTGACCCTTTGAGAGTAACTGACACAAGGTTTCCCAGTGAGGATTAGTAATACAGAGAATGATTGGCCAAATGTTACCCAACTTGGCAGGGACCTGAACTAGGATCTCCCAAATCTCCATCCAACATCATTTCTAGCCATTATAGTGTTAGAACAGTGGATTGGTGACAATTTGTTTTCCATTTGTTTTCAGAGACATTTAATCATTTTATCGTAGACTGTAAATAGTATGCAGCAGTGGTCCCCAACCTTAGGTAACCTAGCTGTTCTTGGACTGCAACTCCCAAAAACAACACCCAGCACAGCTGGTGGTGAAGGCTTCTGGGAAGCCTGGTTACCCAAGGTTAGGAACTACTGGTATGCACTGAAAGACATTACACTTCCTAGTGTTCAACAACTGAAGCAATAAACATCTCCCACACTCTTCCACTTTTTTGTCATGTTGTGATAAAGATTGAAGTAACCAGGGGTGGATTTTTATATGGATGGACTGCGAGCTCTGTTCCATAACAGTACAGTGGTGCCTCACTTAGCGATGTTAATTCGTTCCAAAAAAATCGCTGCTAAGCTATTTCATCACTAAGCGAAACGCGGTTTCCCATTCAAATGCATTGAAAACTGGATCGTCCGTTCCAATAGGAACAAATTGCCGTCCTTAAGCGAAAATCGCCATAGGAAACATCGCTAAGGGAAACGCGCTTCCCCAATTGAAGTACATTGAAACCTATTCAATGCATCTCAATGGAGGGGAAAATACAACAATAAATTAAAAAAGAGTCAGAACAAAGTCAAATTTGGTTGACAAAGGGTTTATTAAGTGCACTTTATGATTTCAAACATTTTAGACAGTAAACTCTAACTATAAATAACAGGATAACATTTAAAAAACAGCAAACACGAGGCTGTTTAAATCATTGTTAAGCGAAACAGGGGACCCAAAATTGAATCGCTATGCGAAGCATGGTCCCAACGATCTCCAAGCGAAAATTGCCCATAGGGACCATCGTTATGAAGCACAAAAAGACTCTGGAAAAGTTGTCACTAAGCGATTTTGTCGTTAAACGGAGCAATCGCTAAGCGAGGCACCACTGTATTCTGAATGAATTCCAATCTTTTGCACCTGGTTCCAGTTTGTTCTTGGGGTTCTCACTGAAAAACAAAGATCTGGCAGATTTTGGTGTGTTTCCATTCCTGGATACAGCAGTTAGGAAACCAGTCAAGGAATTTGTCTGTTTTGTAAAAAAACAGAACAGCAACAGTACATTTCTAGGACGCTCAAGACATGACTAAATCCTTCACCATGTAGTGAATAAACTGTTCACTGATGCAGTCCATGCAGACGACTGCAGGAAAAGGGGAGTTGCCCATAATTTGGCATAGGCAGCATTTGAACCCAGGTCTCCAAAGTCCTAGTACGTCATTCTGTACTCTATACCATATACACACTATATCATTTTGTACACTGTACCAAATCAGTGGTCCACAACTTTGGATCCCCAGAAGTTCTTGGGTTACAACTCCCAGAAATCCTGGCCAGCATAGCTACAGGTGAAGGTTTCTGCATGTTTTAGTCCAAGAAGATCTGGGGGCCCAAGGTTGGGAGTCACTGCTAAATAAACTAAGCACAAGGAACAGTAAATGCTAGCTGCCCATGCATCCTCTGAACTCTACAGACTATTTAGTTAAGTATTCATAGCTTTAATAAGATAAGTACATTAATAAAACTAAAATGCCATGCATTGGCTGGAGTTTTATTCTAACATCCTTATTCTGAGAGCTTGACTGAATTCTTTCTAGCCACACATATATAGAATGAAGAGGCATGACTTCTCAGACTTACATTAAACCTTTCCTAAATCAGATACTATGGTTTGAGGTAAAATGAAACTGTGAAACTGAGTAACCTAGAGTGGTCACAATAACCAGATAGGTGGGGTATAAATGGAATAAATAAATAACCAGTAACTCTCTCTCACACACACACACAGGGGCATGTAGCTTTTGTGCTCATCAGCCTCTGGAGGACTAAAATATTTCAAACTGTGACGACCAAGGCATCTCTATTTTTGTGCGCACAATGGGGGAGGAAAGGATTACAATTCAAGGAAGGACCATATTGTGCATGCAATTTTAGTTTTCAGACATTTTAAGGGCATTCTTGCCTTTGATGGGAATGAGTGGTAAGTACATAGTGATTAAAGAGGCTGAGGACTCAGAATAGGTTTTTGCCCACACTGCAAGCAAAGCACCTAAGCAGTCTATACAAAGTGGTGTCTAATCAGAAAGGAAGAGTTGTTACCCATAATGTTTGCTGCTGTCTTTCTTGAAGGAGGCTGTTAGACTCAATGGGCATTTGCCTTAAAAAGCTTGTAATAAATGGAGCTAGTTCCTCTGTGCCAACTTGGAGCATAGCAACTTCTGGCGTGGGGGTGCATTGCTGTGGATCAGCTAAAAGCAATTGTGCCAATTCTAGAAGCCTTCAGTGAATGTTTAAACTTGTTTTAAAAGTGTGCACCCTCTTATTAGCAGTCAGTGGAGATTTGAATATTATCTGTGCTAAGGTGGGGTATGTGTCTGAGAGAGTGACTCGAAGAAGGAGCACACACATAGAAGGTAAATTGCTAAGGGATATATTCTGTTATGGAGAAAAGGCAAAGAATTAATGGAGAAGGAAAACGAGGTAGATTGTTACAATTAAGAAAATAAAGGAAAAATAATCATTAGAGGCAGATGTAGGGTTGTTACTTTCATGATTTGCAACAACAGTGCAATGTAATGCTTTAGTGCCAGTGTAATAATTCAGAGGCAGAGTAAGCCTGGAGCAGATTCTAGAGTTATTCTCGCAACATGTGTAAGGGATTATTTTGTCAGTCCCCCTGGCTGGAGATACAACTTGGAATTGAAAGATGGTGCCAAGAAG